TTTTTTTTTTTTTTTTTTTTTTTTTTTTTTTTTTTTTTTTTATTTTTCCAAGAATTCCCCAGCTTCACCATAACATGAAAGCTCTCAATTCAGAGCAAATTAATCCACAATCCTGTCCAAACAGAATTCCTGCCGGAGGCATCATCCTCCTGTTGCAACACTCGTCCAACGTCATTCCGTAATTAGCTGGAAACTGTTATTGCTGCAGAGGCACACCCTGGGACGGGCCCTGCCCTGCACACACAGCTGAATTTTGAAACAGGGCCTCTTCCCCCTCCAGCTCCTGCCTCTCATGTGATTAAAAGAGGCAGGGTGGGAGGTGGGTGCTGCTGCTGAGCGAGCTGGATCTCCTGAGCCAGGCAGCAGCTCTGGGATGCTGTCCAGTGGCAGCACATGATCTCCATTTCAAGCAGTGCCAGCAGCCTGTGCCTCCCGGCCAGCCCTGCTCGGGGCCAGGCAGTGGGAGCACTGAGCTGCTTTGAAGTGGGCCACCCTCAGCCCCAGCTCATGAGACTCCCTCCTTCCCTTCCCCTCTGTCCCAGGCCGAGCTCTCGCTGCAGAAGGAGCAGCTGCAGCTGAAGATCATCGAGGTGGAGGATGAAGTGGACAAGTGGCAGAAGGAGAGGGACCGGATCAAGGTGTGTGTGAGATGTTAAGGTCACTTATGGCTCTCTTTTCCACTCTCCCACATCCTCCTTTCCTCAATTCCCCTGCCACCTCCAGCTCTGACTCCCTCCATCCCTCACCCTCCGCTCTGCCAAGCTCAGTCCTGCCAAACCTTGGCAACAAAACTCCTGCTGAAGCCACCCTGTGACACGTCCTGGGGGAGATCAAGGAGAGGCAGCACAGCCTTGTTACAAAACCACCCCAGGCACCTCCCTGCTCTGGGTGCCTGATGGTTCTTCAATCCCCAGCAGCCAGGCAGACTCGGAAACAAAGGTGTGCTGCTCCTCTTCCCACCAGACCACACACAGAAATAACCTGCACAAGGGCTCTGGGTAACCCAAACTGAGATAAGGCAGCACTTCCCCCAACAAACATCTGATTTATAGTGGAACAGCTCATTTCCATACTGATATAAGGCTCCTTTATAATTCTTTCACCGTGGTAGGGGTTGGAATACAGCAATGGTATTATTTTTTTGTCATTTATACCCTAACTGAATAGAGCAGGGAAAACACTATTTGGAGACGCCCCAGAAAATTTGCATAATATTAATAGACAAAGCCATTCTTCTCCCTTTCATGTGGTGCACACACACTGGCTCACCAGTTCTGCTTTTCATCTGCTTTATTATTATTATTATTATTACTACTATTACTATTATTATTATTGGAAACCTGACCTAGAAATTTTAACTCTGAATATAGTTACATCCACAGTCTTTCTGAGGAATGTTTCAGAGGGACCTCGAGGTCAGGTTTGTAAAAAGTGTTTCAGCACTTTTCATCCTTTGAAATGGGAGGAATTCGATGTTCAAATTGTTGAGGAGCCAGCACCATGACTTCGAAGGTTAAACAGTGTTTTTAAATATCATCTAAGCGTGCAGTTTATGAATTGGAATAAAAGATCTGCTCTAACAGTGAGGAAGACATCATGCCCTTTGGATTACATACACAAAATCATTGCAGGAACAACTATTACTTCTCTTGGCACAACTTCTCTCGTGCTAAAACTTGCCTACCTGGAGTCTCCAAAGTCTAGATGCTGAGAGTCCTTGGACATATCCCCCTCTGTGTCCCTCTGTGAGTGAAGTTATTCCTTGAAAAGCTGAATATTTTCATTCTCCTGTGTCTTTCCTGCTCCTCCTCTCTCTGAACTGCCCCTCAGAATTACACCACCAACGAGAAAGCCACGGTGGACCAGCATTTCAAGGAGCTGATCCGTGACCTGGAGAGGCAGAGGGATGAGGTGAAGGCTGCCCTGGACCAGAGGGAAAAGATTGCATCAGAGAACGTGAAAGAAATCGTGGATGAGCTGGAGGAGAGGGCAAAGCTGCTGCGGGAGGACAAGGAGAACAGGGAGCAGATCCACCAGATCAGTGACTCCGTGCTCTTCCTGCAGGTAACTGAGACTTCACTGTAATGTTCTCTTTTCCCACAGAAGACAGGATTTGCCCTAAGGACAAATCCCAAGTGAGTTTAACACGTGTTCACCTTCTCCAGTTCAATGCACAGCTAAGTCAGGAGCTTCATGTTTGGAGCTGTTTCTGCTCTGGGAGGTGAAGGATGAACTCAGACATGCAGGTGTGTTTACAGATGGCTACAACTCATGGACAGAGCATTTGTCTGCCCCCTCCATCTCCAGCTCTCATACTACTTGGAGCCTAAGATTAGCCAGTTCCCTGGGACCTACCCTCCAGCTCTCCTGTTCCTCAGTAACCTCTGTGCCCTTCCTTTTTTTTTTTTTTTGGCAGGAATTTGGGGCTCTGATGAGGAATTACGTGCCCCCTCCCTCTCTCCCAACCTACAGTGTGCTGCTGGAAGGGGAGAGCATGAGCCCCTCCATGGGGCTCCTCAGGGATGACCTGCTCAATGTCTGCATGAGGCACGTGGAGAAGATCTGCAAGGCAGACCTGGGCCGCAACTTCATCGAGAGGAACCACATGGAGAACGGTAAAACAGCCAAAAAACCCCCCTTCCTCCTTCCCTCCCAAACCCAGGGCAGATGAAATTTGCTGAACACACTCTGCATAGTGGAGAAAGTAGGAAAAACAGCAGAAGGAACACTGCCTGTAGCTGGAATTCTTTCTGGAATATCAGAGTTGTCCCACCACACCTATGCGGGGATGGAGCCAGTTGAATTTAAAGTACCAAGACATCCAAACCAGCCCCCCTTCCCTGACTGCTGTTGGATGTTATGGCTTCACAGTATTTAAGGGTTCAGCCACCTCCTGTGTGGCACTTGAGAGCAAGATTTCTTTCTGGGGGTCATGAACAGTGACCCTTCCCTCCTGCAAGAGGGACGCTCTGCCTCGTGCCAGGCCCCCAACAAGCCCTTCCAGTTTTAGCACCACAGTTTCTACCTGGAGGATTCCACACATCCACTGAGGCAACTCAGTGCTCACTGAGGGGAGTGGAGAAGGCAGGGGCAGGAAGGTGAATGAAACCACCTCAGGAGGGCAGTTCTGAAACCCTCTTTGTGCAGCTGGGTCAGCACGTGCAGGGTGCTGGTGTGATGGGAAGTTTTACAACTGCCCCTTCCAGTTGCCTGCCATGAAATGCTCCTGCCAGCTCCTGCCACTGAAAATCTAACACTTGAAAGTCTGATTTTCCAAGTGGAAAGGTCTCCATTTTGGTGTTCAGTTAAGCTACAGCTTGACCTGGGATAAAACTCCCTCTGATCCACCTGGCAGAGCTCTCCTGCCTGCCCTGATCCAGGGGGCTCAAGGGACACAAGTGGTCCCCACACCTCAGTGGTTCCTGAGGACAGCTGATGTTCCTCAGGTGAATAAATGGTCATTATCACAGCACTGCAATGACTCTTCTAAGGTTCTAACCCACTTCCTTTCAGTGGCTCCCAATTAGCTCTGAATAAAGGATTTATCTTGCATCAAGCCCACACCTAAGATTAGGAGGACTAAGATTAGGGCACTGCAATGGGGCTGAGCAACCAGCCTACAAACTTCCTACAAACAGCCTTTGTAACCTTGGGCATGTTACTTAATCCCATGAAATGACCTCTTGCCCCAAGAATAACAGGGATGGGAATTAACAGTTATCTCACCAGGCTGCTGGAGGACATAATCTATTAGTAATTGAGGAACCCCAGATACCAGAACAATAAAGGTCAAGAAGCTGGATGTGTAACGGGAGGATAAATTGTACCCTGCTCTTCGGGAGGGTGTGTGGCTCAAAAAGATGCAGGAATAACCTCAAGTCCAGTTCATCCAAATCTGCTGCAAACCTGCAAGACCCCTGTTAATTCACTCGAGCTCACAGCCCTTACATTGCTCCTGGATTAATACACTACACTGTCTAGTGCCACCATCCTCCATGAGACATGAATTAGGTGGACCAGATACTTCTGGAACAGAGAACCAACCTTGCAGAAAAGTCAGAGACCACACTCCAAGTGCTCATGATGCACAGCCAGGTTTTAAAACTCCCCCTGCCCTTAAAGTAGTACCAGGAATTGGACATTATTTACCTTTCAGCAGTTAAGGCTGCAGCAGTCCTGGTTAGATCCTTCACACTCCTCATGCTGAGAAATGTGGCTATAACTGAATACAAGGAGATGACAAACAGCTCAGATCCAAAAATCACTTCTGTTCATTGTTCTTCCTCCTTTTTTTTCCACCTGAAACTTTGCAGAATTTCCACCTGCTGAGCTGGTTTTTGCCAGCCCTGAGGCAAACACATTTTTGCTTGGCCACTTGTGCAACCCAACAAGATAATGCCCATGTTCAGTTCTGGTAGCTCAGGATAAAGACTGACTATTCCTTGATACTTGATCACTTTTAATTGGGGTCTCCTCCTTTTACTGATGCCAGAAGCCCTCACTGGTACTTGAAATCCGTGGAATTCAAGTGCCAGAACATCTCTGAGCAGGGCAACTAAACACTACCAGAAGCCTGGGTACTTGCAGAGGCTTTAGCAGGGATTTAATGGACACAGCTTGGAGTCTGCCTAATGAAAAGAACAGTGGTATCCACTCAGTTGGGAAATGTTATTTAAGGTGAGTCCCAGGAACTTCAGAGCTCTCCCTTTTCCAAACTACAGTTACAGATGAAAGAGGGCAGCACTCTGCATCCAGTGACTGCAAGGAAATAGCTCCACAATTACTTAATGGATTTAATTAACTCGGACTCCCCCTGAGTCATTGCAACAAATTCATTTGCTACTGGCTTGATGTTCTGGTGTAAAAACCTTCCCAGGAAGAAATATTATATTAATGGAATGAAACCTGCTTAATAGCAGACTCCAAAGGGAATCCACTTTCTTTTAGTTGTCATAACAGGTACCTATGTAGCAGAGTGGCAAGGAGGTAAATAATCAGGGAGCATCCAGGGAGTTTAAATAACACAGAAATAAATTGGAGAAATAAAAGAAAAGTTTGTTCAGTGACTTAAGAATCAAAGAATGGAACTATTTAAACACGGGAACCAAATTTACTTCCTTGCAGAGAACAATAGGTTTGTATAGGCCTTCAAAGGAAGTATTTTTATGAGCAAGTGTACTGATAAAACATCATTTCCTGTGGACCAGTGTCAGAAAACCAAACCCAGGCTGTGAAAGAGCTGCCAAAAAAGCAGATTTCATCCACTTTGCATGAGGCCTGAACCAACCACCCTTGTCCAAGAGTCTAGAGCTGTTTGCTACTTTATTTTAGCACCTTTCTCTAAAAAGTGAAGGAGCCATTGAGCCCTCCCAGCACTGCCTTTCTGGAGCTTCAAATACTGGCAGTTCTTGAGCAGGGGGTTGAAAGCCAGGCCTGTGCTCAGGTTAAACACCAAAGGAGCCAAGCCCAAACCACTGCTTTTGAAGTGGGGGACATCTTTAGCCCCACAGCAGCGTTTTGGTAGGAAAATGCCACAAGCCTCAAACCTCCCTATGGTTTTTAGGAGATAGGGCAGCTCCAGAGTGGCCAAAGGCTTCAGCTGGGCTGTGCCAAGGGAACCTTCTGCTTTAGACCCTGGGCAGCCACAGCACTGCTCTGGCTCCCAGCCAATTAGAAAAATGTTTTCAAAGAGCAGAATCACTTCTGAAGCAATTCCACCCTGTTATCCCCTTCCTTCTCCTCCCTCTCAGGGTCACTAAACTTCCCCCTCTCTGCTCTGCTCCTCCAGGTGACCATCGGTTCATGATGAACAACTACGAGTGGAACCAGCCTGACAACTTGAAGAGGTTTTCCATGTTCCTGTCTCCCAAAGGTATGGCACCCTACAGGTGGTCAAGGCTTCCTCTAAACACAGCTTAGGAAAGGAACCTCACTGATAACGTGTCCCAGAATTTGCTTTCCCTCCGTCCCTCTGCGCGTTTACGCCGAGTCTTCTCTCCAGCTTGCAGAGCTCTGAGAAGGTTTTGCCTTTTTGTCTCAAACAGGGCAGAAAAAGAGAAGAGCTGGAGTGACTTCAAAGAGTGTAGTTTGTGAGTGTATAGTTTTAAGATGTCTCACTGGGTTAAAGTCAGTGCTATTCTCCACCCAAAGCTTATCTCACTGTGCCATCGAGTGTGAAAGCTGCTCTAGGCTTGCTCTGCGTTAGGATTTTACTTTCACCAGCAAACATGCTTTTTCCTTACAGGAAAAGGACAGAAGAAGTGAGAAACGTGTCCTAAAAAAAAAGGCAGGAGGCTGGAGTTCCTTTCTGAGCTCTGGCAACAAGAGCCCTGGTGATTTGCTCATGTCCCAGTTGTTGCATGACCCACTACAGGATGAGCAGGGAATGAGGGAATGAGGGTTTTCAGCACATCCAGTTCCAAAAGGACAGTTGCCATTTCTAAATGAGCATCAGGAGCCTCCAGAGTGAGGAGCTGAGGGTGCTGAAAGCTCAGTAGGAAACAAAAGGGCAGGAAGGGTAGCACAAAAAAAGTGACCAAATTTCAGCCCTGCCAGGGTTTGCCAGATGCTTCCAGCCAGATGGTGGGCAGGGACGTGCCAGCAATTAGCAGTGGCACTGCCCTGGGGGTGTATTCCTGCTCTGCCTTGGGGTTTCCTGGGGACAACCCAGATCCCAACACTGAGCCCTTTGTCTGGAGCTCCCCTTTGCCCTTCTCCTCAGCTCCCTGCCCACGCCTGGCAGCCCTGCCTGGCGCCCAGGGGGTGAGGAGGTTCTTTGGAGCAGATGCCAGGGGCAGGGCTGGCATTCCCAGACTTCAGCAGGGCTGCTTCCCACAGGCCCCCCGGATCAGGGGGCAGAGGGGCATCTTGCCAGAGGTTGGTTTTGCATGGAGCCTGTCTCCAAACACCTCCCAGATGGTTGGTGCTGCTCTGCTGCCCCAGCTGTCCCAGGGCTCTGCAGGCCCTGTGCAGTCAGGGGAGGACATGTCCTGCTGAGCAGAGCTGATGATGCTGGGGAGAGACCACAGGCTCAGCCCTGCACCCCAAAACTTTTCGGCCTGGAGGGAAGTTTGAAAGTTAATTCTAAAATTGCACGAGCTGAACCCAGTCTCTGCCCAAGAAGGGAAGCTTTGAGTTCAGGTGGAAACAGCCCCACAGGCATTTGAGGAGTGTGGATGGGAGGAGCAATGTCATCCTGCTGTCACTGCTGCCATGTGTGTCTGGGACGTGGCAAAAGGAAGGGAAAAGCCATTTTTGGCAGTGCCACAGCACTGTAGTGCCTGAACTTCCCTCTGCTCCTCCCTGGAGGATCAGCTGCAGACACCTGGGAGTAGAAGTTCCCTGGCTGCCTGCTGGGATCCAGCATCCCAACCTCCTAAAGTGCCAGGAGGGATCACCAGGCACTGCTAAATCCAGGGTTCCTCCTTTAGTGGTGCCTGCCCTGAGCACTGGGAGGGCTGTACAACAATGTGCAGCTCAGTGGCCCCACAAACACTGGGGGAACATTTATTCCACCTACACAGCTGAGAGCACAGCCTGCGCTGCCTTCCAAATTACTCATTCCCTGTTTTCCACCAACAAAGTCACTTTGTTGTCCAAAACAACTGAAGCACGTGGTTGCACCGGGTTCTCCAGCAGGGTCGGGGCTCCAGCAGGACAGAAAGGATCCAGCTGCTGAAGCCACACTGATGGGGAATTTGGGAACAGAATGAGTCAGTAGGCAAAGCAGGAGATGTGACCCACTTATCTGGCACGCTGGCTGGCCCAGGATGGCCTGATGAATAATGCAACATAGCCATAACCATTTAACTCTCTGGAGCTCTCTGTGCTCTCTCCATGTGTCATGTCCAAGTCTGGTCACAGCTGATTGCATCTTTTCTAAGGAATTCTGTAAAATGTGGGGGGAAAAAAGAGGACCACCCTTTCCATTGTGTCATGTGCACGGAATCCTTGAGGATCTCACCAGAGTTTAGGAACACACCCCTTTTTCTGGCTTGGTTTGGGTCACTGCAAACTCTGCCTGAGGCCACAGTGGAAAGTGTTTTCTGGGTTGAGGAATGCTGCCCAAGTAGTGCTCTGTGCTAATTGCAGTGACCTAAACTAAGAAACTGCCTGGATCTGAGCTGAGCCTATAAGGTTTTAAGCCCTGCTTGAATTCAAGGAGACTTCCACTGCTCTTGTCCTTAGAGAGAGTATCATAAATAATGGTTTCAAGCTGAGAGGAGGTGGAGATTAGATATTAGGAAGAAATTCTTTATTCAGAGGGTGGTGAGGCCCTGGCACAGGTTGCCCATCCCTGGAAGTGTCCAAGGCCAAGTTGGAGGGAGCTTGGAGCCACCTGATCTGGTGGAAAGTGTCCCTGCCCGTGGCAGGGGGTGGAACTGGATCATCTTTAAAATCCCTTCCAACCCAAACCATTCTGTAATTCCAGCATAAAACATTTGCCTGCAGGGATGACATAATGAGGCAGAGGGGAGACATAAAATGTTTCAAAAGATAGAGGAACAATTTTTTCCAACTGCTCAATGCTCCTTTCTGTCCTCTCCCACTAAACTTTCTTCTCCTGATGCTGCAAACAGTTTGGCCAAAGCCAGGAGGAGGTTGGAAAGATCATCTCGTGCCTTTGGAAGTCTTTGAGTGAAGAGTAGGAGGGACTCAGGCAACACACAGAGAGAGAGAGAAGTGTAAATAGAAACAGGGCTTAAGCAGAGCAGCAGCCCACAGGATGGCAGCATAGCAGCTCCAAGTGTTCAGCTTGGGTTTGATTACTGGGAGCCCAGTGCCTCACTAAAGGGGCACAACAGCCCCAGGGTGAGGTCCTGGGGAAGCCCTGGAGCACCTGCCTGTCCCAGTGCTGAGCCAGCCTGTGCTCCTGCAGGAAATGTTCCTCCCCTGGTGTCTCCTGAGCTCTGAATCCAAGCTCTGCACGCAGGTCCCTCTGCAGAATAGTCCTGTTGAGTAGACAAAGCTGAGCTGGCGATTTCCTGCAGCTCCAGGCAGCTCTGTGGCAGGGAGAGCTTTGTCCTCTACACGAGAAGTCTATTCACCATCCCTTAGAATCCAGGGAAAAAAGCCCAGGCTTTCCTCTGCTCCCTGGACCCAGATTTCTGGTCTGGGGCTGCTCCCAAATCGGCAGGGACTGTTTCCTAGAGCAATGCCAGGCCCAGGCCTTTGAGCCAGCTCACCAGGAGCCGACTGCTGAACTGGATGCTCTTGTTTTACAGCCAATTTCAACCCACGGTCATGGGAATTTTCCTCCTTCCAAGCGACTGAGGAAACACTTGGTACGGGTAATTCCCACTTCAGTTCCAGAGGATCTAACCCCCCGTGCCACAGCTTTCTGGCTGCCTAACCAACCTCTCCTGCTTCCCCTCTCAGCTGTCCTGTCACCTGCCAGTCCCTGTCTCCCAGAGCCATCCCTGAGCTGGCTGATCAGCACTGTCTGCACACCCCAAACCCAGGGAAAGGTTCTCATTCTTCAGACAGTGAAAGGAGGTGGAAAACACGGGAGCCACAAAGTCCCCATCCAAAACCCTCTGTGTGGAGGTTGTGGCAGAACCAGGAGAGGACTTTAAATACTCCCAGCCAGTCTCAGAAGCACAGAGCTGCTCCTCTCTGTCCCACAAACACCTTTTACTCAGCTCCTAAGTTCTCAGAGACCGAGAGGACACTCACTGCCTGCACAGCATCCAGCAGGGTGGGGAAGGGGGTGCTTTGAGCACCGAGAACCAGCAGCAGGGAGCCTTTTCTTCACAGATCCCCATCTTCCCTTCCCTTTCCTCACCTGTATTTTCTCTCTTTGCTTCCTTCATGCTCAGAGGGTCCAGCCTTTCCCTTCACTCAGAGGCAGCCACGGCCACCCTACCTGGGGCAGCTCTGGTGACTCACAGCCACACCCAAGTCATTCCTGCTTTCCATGCCACAGGCAGGGCTGTCTCCCTCTCATCCCTCTGCTCTCAAATTCGTTCTGGCAGCCAGGGCCTGACCCCAAGGAGGCCAGGAGGGGAAGCCTTGCTTTAATTTCAATGGGTTTTGAATAAAGCCTCAACTGCTTGGAGGCAAGGGAGCTTGGGCAGCCGTGGAGTCATCACTCCTGTCTCTGGAGAGGCACTTTACCTGCTGCTCCTCAGTCACACCTGCCCTCTGGGTCTCTCAAGAGAAAGGCTCTTCCCTGCCTGGAGCATCGGGATCACTCCACTCTCACACACTGTGCCCCCCCAGCTGACTGCTCTCATCTGCCTTTTGTCACCGAGACAAGAGGGACAAAGCCACTTGTTCCCACCTCCCCCCCGCCCCGGGGCCAGTGGAAGGCAGCTCTTACAGGGTGTGTTTGGAAAATGCTTGGGCTGCTCCACTGCAGCCCGTGGAACCCCATGGAATAACAGCACCTCTTCTATCTTCCAGTAGGCAATGGTACTAAGCTGCCTTTTCAGTTCTCCTCGGTGGGACAGAATCCGCCCGGTGACTTCAGCAAACAGTCTGACGGGAGCCTCTTCACCAAGACCGGTACTAGGAACTGAGTGTTCCCCCTTCCTCCTGCCCCTTTTTGAGCTGGTAACACACCTCAGCCTGTCCTTGCTCCCCCAGAGAAGGCCTGGAGCAATCCTGACTGCCAGTCTTATATACCCGCACGTGTTTACATGAGCAACTCTGCTGAGCCAGGGCAAGGGGAGTTTATTAAGGAGTGTTAGCAACTATTGCAAAGTTTTGTCCAGTGAAGAGGTGAAGGGATTTTAAATTTCGCTTGTAATGGGTAGAGACAAATTTTAGATGATTTTAGAGGCGAGAAAGATACCAGGGAATGATGTTCATGGCCATTTGCCCCTCCAGCCTCACCAGTGTCATCTTGAAAGATTGAGAGAAACTAAGCACAACCTTAAAAAAAATTTGCAGTAGCCGCCTGTCCTCTCTCACCTGAACCAGAATCCCACATTCACCATCTCATCCTCCTCTTTTCACGAGTTCAAGGGCACCAGAGGTGGAATCCAAGAGCACCAGCACCTGCCAGGGAGAGTCAGGTCTGACTAATTTGCAGATGGTGGGGAAAGGTCATTGTCTGATCCCCTGAAACTGGCTGTGATACAGCAGGGCTGGGGTTATTTTTGAGTCAGAACAGAGCTGGTGTGGTAGAAGGGGGTTAGGGCTTATCACACTGCCAGAGGTGCTGTCATGAACCCCAGGCCTCAGCTCTTTGCACTAATTAAACAGCCTGGAGTGCTCCTTGCAGGAGTCAGAATGCTGACTTTGGGATTTGGCCTGAATTTAATTGGTCTGATTGCATTCCACCTCTCTGCGTTCCTCAGACATTTTAATTAGCCAGACCTCCTTTACTCCCTTTTCCTAACTGATTGGGTGGTGGAGTAGGACTCTGTCTGATGGCTGTCGTGTCCCACCCCAGGAATGGCTGCATTTCCATGGGAAGCAATTGCACTACTAATTATGTGGCACTTCCAGTCCTGCTGCTCATCCCAACGCTGGCCAGGGGACACGGGGGTGGTGGCAGGGGCTGGTCTGTAACAGGCTGTTTTATGTTGTCACAGCTTATCCTTCCATAGTGAGACATCAGTCTGCAAAGGTGACGCCACAGACGTGGAAATCCACCAAACAGTCTGTTTTGGTAAGAAACCTCTCCTTGGTGGGAAAGCTCGTGCACACCTCCAGCAGCAGAGCTGCCTCTTCTAGGGACACCTGAGACAGGGATGGGGCCTTTGGAAAGGGGAAAGGAAAAAGCTCCAAGTCAACAGCTCCTGTCAGGGATGGAGAGTAACCCCCCACCTCCCCAGCTCTGGGCTGGGGGGATAATCAGTACTGCAAAATGACATTTGGGAAAGGTTTTGCCCTACACAAGTACTGGAAGCACACACATGCTGCTGTCTGTAGGATTCTCCTCCCTGCAGGGATGTCGTACACTCTTATTAGTCTGTGACATCTAGAATGTGTAAATGACACCAAAGACAACCAGATAAAAGGATCTTCCTAATTATGTCCTGCACTGGGCAAATGCAACATCAGAGATGAGGGGTCAGAAATCACTAGAACATCTCCAAGTCACTCATTTTACACTGTTAGCACAAACCAGACAATTATAAGAAGCAGAGGACAGTGATATTTTAGGTCCTGTGATCTCAAATATACAGGGCTAACAAACAGTTAATGCATTACCACAGAAGCACAAAGTCAATCTATTTTTTCTTAACATCCATTCACACTGTGCTGCATTAAGGTCTTGCATGATCTGAATTAAGATTGTCAAGCTTTTGCCCCCTCAGATGAAATCTTGTGGTTTTTTTTTTTTTTAATTTCTGGTTTTCCATTTGTGAAAGAGTATTTACTGTTCCATGGAAATAAGGAGCAGAGGGTCAAGAACCTGAGAGCATTCCCACACTGAAGGAAAGCAGAACAAACACACAGCAGTTAGGAAGTGGCTGCCTGAGGATTGCAGCTGTATCTGCTCAGTTTTCAAGGCTCCCCAGGAGATGAATGCCTGGGAAAGGGGATGTTCCTGGGCAAACTGGGGCACTTTGAGGAAATCCAGACTTGAATGTGCTACAGCAAAAGGTGTCTCCAAGAAACAGCAAAGTTTTGCAATCCCTTCTGTCTTGTGTCTGACCACTGCCTGCCTAAAAAGATCATCAGGAGAAAGCCTGGGGAACTTCTCCCACACAGCCACTGGTTTTTTCTGTCTCCCTTCCTCGCTGATGCTCACATTTGTAATGACTGTTTCATTTTTATAACCTCTATTCACCAGGTAGCCCTGAACCCAACAATTGAGCTGATAAATACAAGCATTTAAAAGGACCAAAATAGAAATGCGTGCTCTGGACTGCAGGATCTCTGCAGGAGCTTTTATGGTCTATTGGGCCAATAATCTAGCTTGTAAAATAGTCTTAAATGTGTATTTAAGTAATATACATTCTAAAAGGTCTGTAAATATGAATTTTCACAAAGGAGCATTCAGTTTAAGGAGGAATGTCTTTTTAACCCCCAGGAAGTTCTTTTAAATGAAGGCCCCCCTCTTCCATATCTTAATTATATTGGAAATTAAAGCCATAAAATGAAAAGAATTTCAACAAAAGGGAACATTGAGCAGGAGGTGAGTGGGGCACTGAGCAGCAAGATGGGCTGGGTTTGCTCTGCCCATCCTTCCTGCTGTTCCTGATATTAAACTAGTGCTGCACAAGAAAGGAGCAGTGTGTTTTCTGTGAGGTGTCTCCCACATTCTGCACGGGGGATCTGGGCAGTGGATCAAACCTAAGACAGGCTGGGGGTTACAAACCCCAATTGTCCCTGATTTCCACGCTCTCTGCTTCAGTGGGGTGAGCATTTTCTCACCCAGGGCTGCAGGTTCTGCCTCGGCCAGTGCAGCCAGAGACCACAACAAATAAATAAATCAATTGGCTGTTGTGTTTGCAACCCTCCAGAGCCAACAGGAGGCTGCACAACACACCTTTGCCACGTGTTGCTTGTTGTGATGGTGCAGATAAGAGTGGAAATGCAGGGGTGGGTCCTGATGAGATGAGATACACTCAGGGACTGCAGTAAAATGAGCTGGAGGGACAGAAACCAGCAATTCCTGTAGGATCTGCCCCTGTCTCTCCACTTACACAAACACTGAGCACTGGGCAAATAAAACCCACACCATTGTGAGGGTATTTCCATGCCCAAGAGTTTGGGTTTGCCAGCCAGAGAGCACCAGGAAACACCTCACAACCTGAATAACTGCACACAGCTTCGAGTGTTGAAAACTCCCCTGAGTTAGTGAGCAATTCAAACACACTGACAGCAGCATAAAGGTGACATTCCTCTCCTCCCAAAAACCCCTCATCAAGCCATGAGTCACAGTCTGAGCTTTTACATGATGCAGAGGCTCATTTGGCTCGGGAAGGAGGGCCAGGTAAATCAGAAAGCAAAGCCATTTCTCTGCATCTGGTGTCTCCAGCACCTCCAGCAGGGAGGTAAGGCAGAGGTTCCTCCAGGTCCCAGGTGCTGAGGAGTTTGTGAGATAGGAATGGTTGGGCTGCCCAGGAGGGTGAGAGGTGTAGGTGGCCAGGAAAAGGAGGTGGGTCAAACTCACATGCCCCAAATTCTCCATTGCAGTCACATTACCGCCCCTTTTACGTCAACAAAGGCAATGGAGCCACTTCCAACGAGGCACCTTGATCCCTGAAGATTTAGGGAAGAGCTGGCAGCACTTGGAGTGAAGACTCAGCTGCGGATTTTCATGGATGTACCCGCTACTATATTAACCTTGCTGCTCTAATCTCTGCCAGGGAGAGGGAAGGTGCAGAAGGGAATAGCCTTTTCTAGAGGAAACAAGGACTTTTTTTTTCTCCAAATCACCCAATTGCCTTGAAAGCTCCGCAGGCCTTAACAACATAACCCTCCCCTCTGCTGTCCCCTCCTCGTTCCCTCCCTGTCCCCTCTGCTGCTCTGCCTCTCCTGGGAAGCATGCATGCTTGGGTAGCAGCCCCTGCCAAACCAGCTGTGCCCCCTTTGCCCCCAGTGTGTTTTTAGGAGCTGTTCAAATCCCGGTGAAGGTCCCAAGCTTGGGGAGCCCAAAGCTCTGCCCAGGATGGAGAGGTCCCAGCCAGCCCCTGGGAGCAGTGACGGGCTAAAAGCTCTTTCTGTGCCTCTTCTGCCCTGTCACCCACCCTCTCCTGGGGACACCCAGCTCTCACTGGGGGCAGGTCCAGCACTGCCACCTCCCTGGAGCCCTGCAGGTCCCACCACTCTTCCTCAGGGTCCTCCAGCAGCTCAGCTCTGCTCCTTGCCTGCCAAAAACCCACGACAGGAGCTCTGCAGAGCTGCTGCAGCCCAAGGCCAGCTGCTGGTGGAGGGCAGAGAGGCTTTGCATCCCATCAAAGTGCCCCTCCAGCCACCTTTTCAAATTAAGAAATAAAAAGAAAATCCATCCTGCTAATACAAGATTGATTAGATGCCATAGGTGTTGGGTGCTTTTCTGTTTTCTAGTGGTTTTTCTTAATTCCCCTAAACCAAACTTGATTTATATACTGTAGTTCAGGTGGGTTTTTTTTTCCCTGCAGTGGGCAATGAGAATCAGTCCCGTGGCTTTTTGCTCAGGATAATATTTTTTATTTGTCCCCTGGACAGATGAGTCACATCAGCCTGCAAAGCAGCCAGGGCTGGTTAAGCATTCCATGATCTCCCTGAGATGATTTTCCCTCTCCATAGACAGGCTGAGGGGTAAAATCCACGCTGTGCCAAAGCCTCCCTGGGTCAGTCAGTGGCAGCAGGTGGCCCGTGGCAGGGTCAGGGCCCTCCAACCTTGAGAGCCAAGACCTAACAGTACTTTTCAGGGCTCGCTCTGTTTCAAGCAGGTTTTGGAATGGCTTCCCCCCCCTTCTCCCTTTCCTGCCCCCAAATGCCTGAGAGGTCCCACCTGTCATTCCCTGAAGATTATTTTCTGGCTAATCCCCATGCAAAGATTCTGCTTTTTAATGCAACACCTTGTACAAAACTTGTGAGGCTGAATGTTGGTCGCTCCAGAGGACTTGAAATGTCACTTTATAGTTATTATTTTTTTTTTTGCCTTAATGACCAGAGGGGGAAGGGGCTGGTGTGGTAGGGCAGGATGTGAAGAAAGAGAAACTGGGATAGAGTTGCTTGGAAAAGCCCTGAAGGGTTGGAGTACGTGTGTGAAAGGAGAGAACGAGCCCCCTCCAGGTCTCGCTGGTTTGCCCCTGAGCAGGATCCAGCAACCACTTGGGTTCCAGTAAAAGCTTCCCCCACCTCCTCTTTGGGTTCCAAACTGTGTCAGTGATCCCTCCCCCTCCTCCTCCAAAACCTGGATGTTTAAAATCCCCCCTTCCTCCCTGCCCTAGAGAGGGCTCTGTGGTGCCAGCTGGGCACCGCCCCTGTGACCACCCTGGGGACACAAAGGTCCCTTTCCTCCTGCTGTCCCCTGTCCTGCCCCAGCCCTGCAGCCCCCCCAGCCTGTTTGCTGCCCGTCCCCTCCTCCAGGGCCTCACAGACCTCGCACACACAACTTTTCCCAGCGAATGGAGCTGCTCCTGGGGGGATGCCAGGCCCCCCCTGCCCGCCCTGCCCGTGTCCCCCAGCCCCTTTGCCCTGCCAGAGGGGCACAGTGGCACTTCCCAGTCCCGGGGGATGTGGCAGAGAGGCTTCAGGTGTATTGTGCATGAACTGTTTTTGTCGTGTTTGTCTCGATCAGCAAAGCAAGAGGAATTCCAGCTCCTCAGACAGGACACGGCTGCGCTGATGTAAATGAGGCCCCTCCCGTGTGCAAGAAATAAAGGAGAGAGCTCCATGTCTGACCAAAACTAACAGCTCTGGCTTTGGTGTCTCTGTGTTTGTAAGAGTCTCAGGGAGGTTGAAGTCTTGATGTGAGCAACAGTTATGGAAAACCCATTTTTTCCCCAGCTTTTTTGCTGCTTTATGGATGTTTTAAGTCAAGGTCAGAGAAAATTCCCACATCCTTGAAGGTGAGAGCTGATGAATGCACTTCTAAGGCAATACCTTGAGACTACCCAGCCCAGCTAGGTCAGTTCCCAAATGCTGGTGCCACTGAAGTCCTTCCTGCAAAGGCATTTTGGGAAACCCCTCAGCCTGTGGCTCTTCCCTGCCAGAGTTACACCTCAACAATTCCCACTGGAGAAAAACACTCGTTCACACAGGCCAAAATCAGACTGTGAGGGGACATGCTGAGCTGGGGCACTGTTTTGCCCCAGCACAGACCCAAATCTCCCCATCAGGTTGGTTCTGGGCATCATTTGGACCCTCCACCCACTGAAACCCCCTGGAGACCTCTGGTTCTGCACAGCTCAAATGTCTTGCCAACATTGTGGCTTCTCCTGCCTCTGAGGGAGAGAGTAAAACCCCTTTGGGGCTGCTAAAGGTGCAGATTCAAGGCCAGACACACCCTGACAGCTGCTTAAAAGAGCAATTGTACATCTCAACCTCTGGGGACAAGAACAGAAGCAGGCAAGGATTATTCATTTACCCCAGACAAAGGCAGGGAGCTTTCCAGAGGATGACTGGCATATTTTATCTCCCAGGTACTAGATACCAGCTATTTTTCCCCAGACTCATTCCTGAAGAGCAAGGATGCCACCAATTCACTTGAGAAGCCAGTAAATCCTTCTTATTTACCCCACATGGGAGTTGGCACAGAGGAGAGCTCAGCTCTTCCCCATCAATTCCACTCACTGCCTCCATTACTGTTATTACTGTGATTAAAAAGCAATCAAAGAGAAATCTTCTTCCTGTCCTGAAACTGCCTCAAAACATCTCAGTTCCACCATTTAAGCATGAGAGGAGCCAGTTACAAGCACACCCTGCACTCCTGGGCTGTGAGATGCTGGAAAATGATAATGGAGCTCATGCCCTGAGCAGTCAGAGGCAGTGAGCAGTGTGGGGATGGAGTGATGAACCTCAGAGCTGCAGGGCTGTGGGGATGGAGTGATGAACCTCAGAGCTGCAGGGCTGCCTTGTGCCTGCTCAGGGAATCTGGGCAGAGCAGCTCCAGATGTGCTGGAAGGAACTTTACAGCCTGCTCTGAGCTCAGCACCACTGCACACCCAGCTCAGAGGGACAGGATGGCTCCTCTGCCTCTGCTCAGGCAGAATGGAGGGGTTGGATCTTGCTCAGGCATCAGCTCTTCATCCCAGGAACATCCCTGAGAGAGGGTGGACAAACACTGGCACAGGTTTCCCAGAGAAGCCATGGATACCCCATCCTTAAAAACATTCAAGGTCGGGTTGGTTTGGGCTCTGAGCAACCTGGGCTGGTTGTGTCCCTGTTTATGGCAGCAGGGTTGGACTAAATGACCTTTAAAAGGTCCCTTCCAACCCCAACTATTTTATGGTTCCATCAGGAATGGGGATGATGGGTCTCTCTGGTCCAGCCAGCAGCTGCAGGGGTGCAGAGAACACTTGGCCACCCGAAGGTGGGCTGTCAGAGCAAGGCTCAGCAAGGCATTTACAGTGACTCAGAGCAGCTGGGACACCTCTGGATCACAGGATCACAGAATGGCTTGGGTTGGAATGGATCTTAAAGATCCATGATGTCAAAGATCATCCCGTTCCAACCCCCTGCCATGGGCAGGGATGGCACCTGCCAGAGCCCAAACCAAAGCAAGAGCGGTCTCTGCCCCCTTTCACCCCCAGAAATTTGCAGTTTCCTTAAAGTTTAGAGGTTTAGGTACAAATCTCTTGGCCAGAGGAGGCTGATTCCCAGCACAGGCTTTATTTGTAAACCCCCAAAGCCCTTCAGAGCAGCCCCAGGCTCTGCCCCCACACAGGGGGTTGGACAGGGAGGGAGGAGGCTCCGGTGCCAGTCCCAGGGAAGGAGGTGGCCCTGGGACTGCTCCCAGGATCGATCCTGGGCACAGGAGACAGCTCTGGGGCTGCTCCTGGGGAAGGAGGTGGCTCTGGGTCTGATCCCATGGAAGAAGGTGGCTCCATGGACACTCCCAGGGTCTATCCCCAGGGAAGGAGGCAGTTCTATGGACAATCCCAGGGTCTATCCCAGGAAAGAGGAGACTCCATGGACAATCCCAGGGTCTATCCCAGGGAAGGATGCGGTTATATGGACACTCCCAGGGTCTATCCCAGGGGAGGAGGTGGCTCCATGGACAGTCCCAGGGTGTATCCCAGGAAAGAGGAGGCTCTATGGACAATCCCAGGGTCTATCCCAGGGAAGGAGGAGTCTCCATGGACAGTCTCAGGGTGTATCCCAGGGAAGGAGGAGTCTCCATGGACAGTCCCAGGGTGTATCCCAGGAAAGAGGAGTCTCCATGGACAGTCCCAGGGTGTATCCCAGGAAGGAGGAGTCTCCATGGACAGTCCCAGGGTGTATCCCAGGAAAGAGGAGGCTCTATGGATAATCCCAGGGTGTATCCCAGGAAAGAGGAGGCTCCCGGGCCGGTCCTGCCGGCAGGTGTCAGCGCTCCGCCGCTCCATCGCTGCCGGGACTGTTTCCCTGAATTCCCATGGATCGCCGCCCATCTGACCGCAGCCCTTCTGCCCCCAGAAATGAGCGAACCCGACTGTCACCCCGCTTACAGCCAGTCCATCCTCAATCCTCCCGGATTTATAATCCCAGGCTTCCAAACTGGAACGGTGCCCAAGGGAAACATCAATAACACAGGGACAGACCCACTCCTTGGGTGTGAATTCCCTGCAAGATCCAGCTAAGAATCAAGGCAACCTCCTCCAAAATATTCCCAAGAATCCATTCAGCTCACTCAGCCGGCTTGACTTCTGTCACCAGAGCAACACAGGCCACCGTTTTATCTTTGTAGGTATTAACTATAAAGTTTTAAAATGAACAATTCTTCAGGGGCATAAACAAGAATTACAAAATCTAATTGCTTGTGAACCTTTAAATTTCGGTAATATATTATAATGACATAAATTTGCCACTCTCCTGCACAAAGATAACACAGAGATAAAGTGTTTGAATTTGCTAATTAGCAGGCATAAAATACAGGGACGTGTTCTTAATGAAACTATTGGGATGTTCAATCAAAGACTATGATAGCTCCTGAATTTTCATTGCCAGGAATCTGATCTTTAGACTTTTAGCTCGTCAGGCTACAGACCTTGATGCAGTTCCTTATAGGTTAATATTTCCCTTAACCTGGGGAAAAAAAAATAAAAGCCCAGCATTTAAGGCAGATAAAACATGCATGGGTAGCTGTGGTAATTAATTTGCACATTTTAGTGCTTTTAAACTACTAATCTTACACACCTCCAGCAACCACATATCTGCTCCTCTAACAGTGGCCACGGGCTGTTAGGCAAAGCTTCTTATATATGGGAGTAATGAAGGAGAAACGTTTTGTCCTTTCTATTTCTTGTTATTGCTGGATCTCCAGTGTTTTGTAAATACGAGTTTTCAACACTTTCTCCCTGAGAAGGCAGGCG